GGGTTCAGGCAATTCTCCTGCCTCAGCCTCCTGAGTAGCTGGGATTACAGGCACGCGCCACCATGCCCAGCTAATTTTTTGTATTTTTAGTAGAGACGGGGTTTCACCGTGTTGACCAGGGTGGTCTCGATCTCTTGACCTCGTGATCCACCCGCCTCGGCCTCCCAAAGTGCTGGGATTACAGGCTTGAGCCACCACGCCCGGCCCAAAAGTTTATTCTTAAATGGGCAACAGTTCCGAGACAAGGCTTAATTCCAGCTATAGGAGGCAAAAGGTGCTATGGCAGGGAAGACAGATGTTTAAATACGGATGAAATAAAGGGTCACCGTCCCCTCAGGGACAAGAGCAGCTTACTTTTTGCCAGATTTCTTAATTCCACCTGTGGCCAGGGGCCCCTCCCCCGTGGCCTTCGCTTTCGGCTCCTCGAGTTTCTTCTGTTCTTCTTTTCCTTTCCGCTTGAAAGCCTGATATTCCTCATCCATCTGCTTGGCCTGCTTCTTGGGCTGTTTCAGGGGCTTCTTCCTGCCACTTTCACAGCCAGACATGGCACCTGCCGCCCCTTTCCCAGACCCTGCCACCAGAAACGTGCATCCTTATGTCTTAATGCATCAGGGACCTGGGCCTCCTTGGAGTACCTTCTTTCACTTTTTTTTTTAATAGGACCAGATACTCTCTACAGAGAGGCCAGCCTAACGGGACCCAGGCTCAGGGCCCCTTGGCCACTAAGGGGAGCTCTGGGGTACTTTGACTGATGCTCTCTTTCCTCTTGCCCCACTCTCTCCCCTCACAGTGCAGATTAGACTTTTTCCACTGCCATAAGGCAGTGCCTTGCCTCTGCCCTTTTTCTTGTACCTCTCAAAAGCTGGGCATCTTAATGAAAAAGAGCACAACAGAAATAAACTGGTATAACAGCAGGAAACCTCAAGGCTGACTGCCTGGAAGGACTTACGCAGTTACCTGGGCTGTAAGATACAAGAGTGGAGAAGGGATGAAGAGCCCCCTTTGCTGGGAGGAGTTTTGAAGAAGGGATACATCTCTCACTCTCACTGCTCTGGGCTATAGTCTGCAGCAGAAGAAGAGACCAGGTGACCTCTGGTGAACCCTTACCCTTGGGGACTCAAGGTTCCTTTTAGGATCAGGATTATTTTCCAGGCTGAGAATAAGGATCTTGGCCTTTCCCTCCTCTGTCTCTGGTAAGCAGCAGGGACACAATCCTCCACCTCTCTAGGGGGAAAAAGGACAATTTATAGAATTGTTCTGCTGTTCTTAGCTCTCATTGAGACAAAGAATTCATTTCTGTCTCTCAAGGTGGCTTCCCCTGCTGATGGTCATAAATTGCCTTCCTGCTCACTCCCTGACCTCTTGATCTTTTTGCTTTTGTGCTCAAAAAATTATTAATATTTCTCTTAACTCCATATATAACCTTTGGCTGTTTCTCTCCTTTTCTGTAGGTGAAGTAGCATCCTCAGGGATTACTTCCTCTGCCTCCGCGCCTGCCTGCTTCTGTCGGGGCAGGGCTCTGTGCATGAGGATGAAGACAAATCCACAGGAGGAGGATTCAAAAGATCTCTGTTTGGGGGAGCTCCAAAACTGAAAAATAATCACAGCTAGCATTTACTGAGCATACACTGTATGCCTAGTATTATTCTAAGAGCTCTACGGATATGAACTCAATCGTCACAACGACCCCATAACGTAAGTACTGCTATTATCCCCGTTTTCATATGAAAAAAACAAGAACTACAGATGTTAACCACATAAAATGTCTAAGGCCACACAGAAAGGAAGGGGCAGAACCTAGATTTAAATCCTTGTCTAGTTTCAGGGCCCATGTGCTTTGCTATCAACTACTCTGCCAGGTACGTCTCTGACAGGGAGGGGCTTACCCAGCTTTTGCTCTGCCCTCAGGGAGCTCCAGACTGGGGAGACATGCATATTCCTTGCCCCCCCCCCCCAAGAATCCCCAAGTTTGATAGGGGAGGCAGGTATCCTGTCCTAGGAAGGTATGTCCAGTCTGATGGAAAAGACAGAAGCTTTATCTTTGGATCATCTGACTGATACTAAGGACTCAGCCCCAGGATGTCTGCAGTTTGATGAGTTATGTTATTAGATTCCAAGAGACTCAGTTAATTCGACTAGACCAAATTTTAAGCATTAGTGCTAGAGAGATGAGGATGGAGCAAAGCTGGGGCAGCTGAATTGGGGTTGCCCCAGGAGGGGAGGGTGATACAAGATTGGCAATAAGCAGAAGAAATGCTAGAAGAGAGAAGTGGGCAGGACTCTTGGTGGTGTGCAGGCTTGCCAAAGACAATGTCTGGAAAGCAGGGATTTGCTTAGCTGAGTAGTTCTCCACCCTGGCTGTCTACTAGAATCACCTGGGGCTATGTCTGAAAATACTGATGCTTGGACTTCACCCCAGAACAATTCATCTTTAGGGATGAGGGCATGGTACTGGTGTTTTTTAAAAAGCCCTTAGGGCCAGGCACAGTAGCTCACACCTGTAATCCCAGCACTTTGGAAGGCCGAGGCGGGTGGATCGCCTGAGGTCAGGAGTTCGAGACCAGCCTGGCCAACATGGTGAAACACTGTCTGTACTAAAAATACAAAAACTAGCCAGGTGTGGTGGCACGCACCTGTAATCCCACCTGCTTGGGAGGCTGAGGCAGGAGAATGGCTTGAACCTGGAAGATAGAGGTTACAGTAAGCTGAGATCATGCCACCGCCTTCTAGCCTGGGAACAGATCAAAACTCCATCTCAAAAATAAAACAAAAGTAAAATAAAATATAAGGCCCTCAGGAGATGCTACGCACAGCTGGTGCTGAGGACCACTAGCTAGGGATGAGGTCTATGGGGTCTTAAGCTCTGGGATCTGGGATGCTGGATGGCTTATATGGAAGAGTTTCTAAAGATGTGAGTTTCTGGTGGATTGAGCTGGTGAGGATTTGAAATTAAGGAAAGGGGGAGGAAAGAAGAGAGCTAAAGGACCAGAGGAGACAGGCCAATTGTTGTTTTGGCCACTAGTGAACTAGAGAGACTTGGCTCCTCTGTTTCTAGGGTTTCCAGGTAAAATGGAAGGCCCACAAAACTCCAAAAGCTTTAATAACCCAGTCTCTTCTCATAAAAAAAAATAGCTATCAAGCCTGATACCAGACGTGGAGATTAGGCAGGAAGCACTGAGCTGAGAATATTCCCTTCCTTTGATTAAAGACTTTTAAAAAATTGATACTTGCCTTGGCCAAGTGTGGTGGCTTATGCCTATAATCCCAGAACTTTGGGAGGCCACGCAGGCAGACCACTTGAGGTTAGGAGTTGAAGACCAGCCTGGCCAACATGGCAAAAACCCGTCTCTACTAATAACACAAATATTGGCTGGATGTGGTGGCGCATGCCTGTAATGCCAGTTACTCGGGAGGCTGAGGCACGAGAATCACTTGAACCCAGGAGATGGAGGTTGCAGTGAGCCAGGATTGTGCCACTGCACTCCAGCCTGGGTGACAGAATGAGACTCCATCTCAAAAACAAACAAACAGACATACACACAGACACATACACAAAATACTTTCCTCTCCACGGACCTCCTCTCCATGCCCCATCATGTGGAGTGGAAAGGAGAAAAGCCTGTCTTGTTGACATGTCCAGAGCACCTGCCTCAGGGCCTTTGCATTTGCTGTTACCATCTGCCTGCTGCATTCTTCCCTCAGATGCCTGAGTAGCTGAACCCTCAATTCCCTCAGGTCTGTGCCCAAATGTGGCTTTGGCAAAACAGCTTTCTCTGACTGCCTGTAAGAACAGAAATTCCTTCTCCCTCTCCCTAATCCGCATCCTGCTTTATTTGTCTCCCATAGCATTTACCATAACCTAGTATATTTTATATTTTTTCTTTTTCTTTTTTTTTTTTTTTTTT